GAGAGAGAGAGAGAGAGAGAGAGAGAGAGAGAGAGAGAGAGAGTTTCAGGGAACACTATTAGAGCTATTCTTTGCGGTATTGTAAAGCGCACTGAGCAGTTTTTTAAAAAGATGAAATGCACCGTACAGAATATGTGATTTATTATAATATTACTAACATCATTATTATTATTCCTGTTGTTATTCTCATTGCTTTACTTATAGCCATAGCCAAACATTAACATACATTCTTACAGACTACTGTAATAATTTGTCCAACTTGTATTTGGGAGCCCCAGAAGTTGCACCACTGACATAGTTACCTCGCCTCTTCCCCTCCCACGTCCTACTACTCTCAACCCCACCCCCATCACCAAACACACGCACTCACAAAAGCACACACAAACACACACATACGCACACGCACACATATGCACACACACATACGCACCCACCTACCCACGCACCCACACACCCACCCACACACACACACACACACACACACACACACACACACACACACACACACACACACACACACACACAGCTCCGTGCTAAGAGGTTGTCGACACGGTCTGGATATTTTTGTCTGGTTTGGCATTCTTACATTTATTGAAGCAACGCAGAGCTATCCATATGAATATCATAAAAGAAAACCTATGCTGTTATAATTTTTTTTTCGTCCAACAGCTTCTTTCAGAACCCCTCAACGTTTTAATATCTTCATTCTTTTTCTAGTGGAATGTTATACTTGTTAGAGGTAACGACCCCCCCCCCCAAAAAAAAAAAAAAACCAAAACAAAAAAACCCAAAACATTTTGAGACAGCCACCCCACTCACTCCCTCACTCCCTTGGTGCACGAATTTTAAAAAAAAGCTTTCCTTCATAGACACAGTGTCCTTTGTATATAAAAACCACGCCTATACTTGCAGATCCAGTTTAACACGTTCTTCACCCACTTCTTGATTTCTATTTCACAGACAGGAAATTATAAGCCCATGACGATACGCAACAGTCTGCACTTTTTTTTCGACAAAAAATCAAAAGTTTAGGGATGGTTGAAAATTTTTTTATTTTTTTCGACACCAATGTTTTACGCCCGTTTCAACTCGACGTGTTAGATCAGTTAGGGTGGCGGGCTGCCTCTACTCTACATATGTGAGGCAGCGCGGTGGAATCAGGCTCTCGTCATTTTTTGGGCTTGTAGGGTTATTGTTATCATCTTAAAGCTTGCTTACACTTCTTTATTTGGATGAAAAAA